TTATCCCTCGTTTATTATTTTCCAGCTTGCCACGCCGACGATCTTGGGAAACATTATATAAGCCTATTATTATATATATCTATATGTAAATGAAACTTCTTTTTTTTATATACCCTCAGTTATTAGTACCAGTACCGGGTTGGCTACCTCAATTTTCTGTGCATTTTTTAAACTTTTTTTTTTTTTAAATATGGAACTGGTTTGTTCCTGATTGGGGAAAAGTTGTCACAGTAACTTACTAAAATCATTAAAATGTCATGATCTCTTGTTCTTTCATTCACTGAAGGAGAAATGAAACAGATTTGTTCCTACTAGAACAGGGGTATGAAGTTGAATGTGCCACCTCCCCCCCCCCTCCCCCATTAGTAAATTTTGGACCACTTGTCCAACTCCCCTGTTTATTCCTACCCCCACCCATTTTTTAAAATATTCGACACCTTAAAGTACTGATGTCTTTCAGCCACACCCATGATCTCTGATGAGAGCGAAAAAAATCTTTTAGGTCCAGTGTGCAAGTTGCGCATGTTAAAGATCCCTTGTTGGTCCTAATATCGATAAGAATAGGCTTCGGCCGCCACCCGGGCAAAATTCAAAATTAATTCCTAACGAACTGAAAATGATTATTAATGTATCCTGCGCGCACATATGATGGTATGCTATTACACACAAAACAAAAAAAAACACCCTACGAAAAACAGACAAACAAACAAATCCGATCTCTCATAATGTAGCCTATGGTAAAACAAAAAGCTCTCCAATAGCAGATATTACTAATATTAGGGCAGGAATGCACGGCTGTATCAGTGGTCCAACTCCAACCGTCGACAAGAAAGCAGGAAAAAAGGAAGCAAAATAACAGCCAATTAGTATGTTGCATAATACATGTATTGTTTTGATGGCGAATTGGACCTGCGTGATCCACAATAACCGCAAGTTGATTGTGCACGCACTAGAGAGTTTAGAACGCACTCGCACTATACGATATATCACACAGAATATATATGTGTAGGTAGGGGAAAAGGGTGGTGGGGGGGGGGGGGTGGATGCCCTTTGGTGTCATTGTTGGTGCAAATCCAGTCAGTCAGTCAGTGGCTCGGCGTGACCTTGGCCTGGCCTGGCACCACACCGTCACCACACTGTCCCCTCGTGGGACGGCGAGACTTGTCTCGAGAGAAAAAAAAGACAGAATGGTTGGCGGTAGCTTAATCACTACTAAATATACCGCAGATCTTTGTCATGTGCACCCCTTTTCCCAGCTGTGGTAACTTTTCGTTTTCGAATGGTTGTAAAGCGTACGGAGCATGCAGTAGGCTCTGCACAGCATCATTTTATTTCATGTATTATGAGCTATATTTCATGAATTTGCAATTAGAAGGTTAAATCTATCACTATTCACTATTACCCGTTCATTTTAAATATATCTAAACCTCAATAAGAATAAGACTAAGGTGCATGACATGAAGATCTGCCAGTAGTCTCCGCCTATGATCCCACGGCTTACCATCTCGATTCGCTAACTGTCCCGATGTTTTAGGAGAAAAGAATTTGTACTACAGAAAAGTCGGCCCAATGATCCCGCTTTCCAGATCATAATTTACGGAACAAAAACTCATGTGGGCACAGCAGATCAAACAAGAGTGAACATTTGGGATCATCGGACTGCCTGTTGCGTCACAGATCAGCCACTCTCGTGAACGTGATCACCCGCCGCTGTAAAATCGGGATTACACCGTGGTGTGAACTCACCGACGTATTTGTTTTCCCTGTAGCGCACTTGTATCTGAGCTCTCCACTTAAACTTACGTCACACGCTCAGTAGGTAGGCTTGGGCCTTCGCCTCAGGCGGGATCACATCCAACTGTGAACTCTTCCCTGACCATCGCAGCATTTTGTCGCTACTCCCGAATTGGCGAGACAGACTAAAGATTGGTGTGGTCCAAGGAGTGTAAACTCATTGGTGTGGTCACAAAACACAATGGTACGGAACAACAAAAACGAGGGAACTCGGTCCGAGATAGAAAATTATAAAATTTACAGATAGGTAGGCTAAAGGGGAAGAGCAATTATTTTTTTAAATTTATAAGCATACCGGTAGGTCTTGAGATTCACAATATAAGTGAAAATGGCATGCCTCATGTTGCTATGATTGGTCATCAAGGTTGACCACTCTTTGCTCCCGACAAGACATTAATATATAAACCTACCCATGGGATCACGCCAGTTCATTATTGAGGAAAAGGAAAAGGAAAGGCAACCGTTTTACCGGCTGTGGGCTCGGACATTAAATGTTTTTTTTTTCTGGGTGAGTGTTTTACGGTGCTTACAACTGCATAAACATAGGAAGTAACCATGGATTCTTTCCTTGGTGCGACGTTCTCCTTGCTCCTGAGCACCGGGTTCCGAGGCGGAGACAACTGTACTGGAAAAAAAAAGAAGAAGCAGAAGAGGGAAATACAGGTATATCACTGGAAAAGAAAA